TAATGAAAAAATTAGTTTACTTTTAAAACATTAATTTCTTTTGTTTTTCTTTAACTTACAACCCTAGTACACCACAGGTTTACAAAACCACTGCTATTTCTTTCCAGTGAAAACTTTTGATCTACAAATCCTTTACCAATTTTATAATTGCTTTATCTTATTCTCAGATCTAAACTCGTATAGGTTCACACAGAGCTTTTATACCAATTCTATATTCTTCCTCACATACTGCACACTAATACCCAAACCATAATAGAAACTTTTAGTACTCTTTCATACACGAAACCATATTTCTCATGTACTCATCCAGGACTTGAGTCCTGGAAATGGGAAGTACAATGCCTGCACTTTAAAGGAGGGGTTTGGGATATTGGCAGTTTGGAGGGATATGTTGTGTATCTTTATATGTGTATGCTTCTAGACTGTTGTATTCTGAGCACCTCTGCAAAAACAGTGATAATGTGCGAGTGTGGTGAAAGTGTTGAATGATGATGAAAGTATTTTCTTTTTGGGGATTTTCTTTCTTTTTTGGGTCACCCTGCCTCGGTGGGAGACGGCCGACTTGTTGGAAAAAAAAAAAAAAAAAAAAAAAAAAAAACTCATCCTTGATATTGTTATTCCATATATTCTAGCATTTTCCTTTTAGTCTATGGTAACTTTTTTTATTAATTTCTATTCATGGTTATTTTCTTTCCATATCCTTGAGGATTTTTCTTACTATAGTACACTGCAAATAGCTATGATTCATATTTATGCAAACTAAAGGAATATAAAAACCACATAAAATGTCAATTTTTTTATACCATTTAAAACTTTGGATGGTTTCTATTTATAGTAACCACAACCATTCATATGCATTTTACCATATGAATTATTTTCTGGGGTAAAGCAGGGTATCGTTTTCATACTGCCCAGATGTTACTTTGGTTACTTGCAGTTACAATACAATAACTGTCTACAATACAATATTACAAATAAATTCTACTGCAGCTAACCCACACAGTGGGAAGCTACACTATGAAACAGAATATGATGGCAACTTTAAAAAAGGTATGGTACAAGATGCATGTTATGTTTCTCATAAAATTAAACATTTGAAACTTTATAAGAAACTAACAAGCAAATACAATAAACAAAATACAAAACTCTCAACTACCATACCTATAAGTATCAAAACCTGTACCGCATAACCCATGGTATCGGGCTTGTCAATACAAATTAATAGTTGTACAGTAGATCTATAACTTGAGATATTACGACTTACAATGTTTTGCACTTACAATATTTGCACTTGGTAACCAGTTAATTACTTATGTATGTTGGCTGAACTGCAGTTATTATTATTACAATCATAACTAAGTGCTAAACCCCCAAGGGTCAATCTGCAGTTATGATCATTACAAATATTTAAACAGAAATGATTGCAACTACCTACACCAACCTACTACCTACCAGGTAGGTAGGTTGGTAGACAGCAACCACCCAGGGAAGTACTACCGTCCTGCCAGATGACTGTGAAACAAAAACCTGTAACTGTTTTGCATGATGGTAGGATTGCTGTTTTCTTTTTCTGTCTCATAAACACGCTAAGATAACAGGGATATCTTGCTACTCCTACTTACACTTTGGTCACACTTCACAGACACGCACATGCATATATATATATACATACATCTAGGTTTTTCTCTTTTTTCTAAATAGCTCTTGTTCTTTTTTATTTCTTCTATTGTCCATGGGGAGTGGAAAAGAATCTTTCCTCCGTAAGCCATGCGTGTCGTATGAGGCGACTAAAATGCCGGGAGCAATGGGCTAGTAACCCCTTCTCCTGTATACAATTACTAAAAAAGAGAAGAAGAAAAACTTTATAAAACTGGGTTGCTTAAATGTGCGTGGATGTAGTGCGGATGACAAGAAACAGATGATTGCTGATGTTATGAATGAAAAGAAGTTGGATGTCCTGGCCCTAAGCGAAACAAAGCTGAAGGGGGTAGGAGAGTTTCAGTGGGGGAAATAAATGGGATTAAATCTGGAGTATCTGAGAGAGTTAGAGCAAAGGAAGGGGGAGCAGTAATGTTAAATGATCAGTTATGGAAGGAGAAAAGAGAATATTGAATGTGTAAATTCAAGAATTATGTGGATTAAAGTAAAGGTTGGATGCGAGAAGTGGGTCATAATAAGCGTGTATGCACCTGGAGAAGAGAGGAATGCAGAGGAGAGAGAGAGATTTTGGGAGATGTTAAGTGAATGTATAGGAGCCTTTGAACCAAGTGAGAGAGTAATTGTGGTAGGGGACTTGAATGCTAAAGTAGGAGAAACCTTTTAGAGAGGGTGTGGTAGGTAAGTTTGGGGTGCCAGGTGTAAATGATAATGGGAGCCCTTTGATTGAACTTTGTATAGAAAGGGGGTTTAGTTATAGGTAATACATATTTTAAGAAAAAGAGGATAAATAAGTATACACGATATGATGTAGGGCGAAATGACAGTAGTTTGTTGGATTATGTATTGGTAGATAAAAGACTGTTGAGTAGACTTCAGGATGTACATGTTTATAGAGGGGCCACAGATATATCAGATCACTTTCTAGTTGTAGCTATACTGAGAGTAAAAGGTAGATGGGATACAAGGAGAATAGAAGCATCAGGGAAGAGAGAGGTGAAGGTTTATAAACTAAAAGAGGAGGCAGTTAGGGTAAGATATAAACAGCTATTGGAGGATAGATGGCTAATGAGAGCATAGGCAATGGGGTCGAAGAGGTATGGGGTAGGTTTAAAAATGTAGTGTTAGAGTGTTCAGCAGAAGTTTGTGGTTACAGGAAAGTGGGTGCAGGAGGAAGAGGAGCGATTGGTGGAATGATGATGTAAAGAGAGTAGTAAGGAGAAAAAAGTTAGCATATGAGAAGTTTTTACAAAGTAGAAGTGATGCAAGGAGGGAAGAGTATATGGAGAAAAAGAGAGAAGTTAAGAGAGTGGTGAAGCAATGTAAAAAGAGAGCAAATGAGAGAGTGGGTGAGATGTTATCAACAAATTTTGTTGAAAATAAGAAAAAGTTTTGGAGTGAGATTAACAAGTTAAGAAAGCCTAGAGAACAAATGGATTTGTCAGTTAAAAATAGGAGAGGAGAGTTATTAAATGGAGAGTTAGAGGTATTGGGAAGATGGAAGGATATTTTGAGGAATTGTTAAATGTTGATGAAGATAGGGAAGCTGTGATTTCGTGTATAGGGCAAGGAGGAATAACATCTTGTAGGAGTGAGGAAGAGCCAGTTGTGAGTGTGGGGGAAGTTCGTGAGGCAGTAGGTAAAATGAAAGGGGGTAAGGCAGCCGGGATTGATGGGATAAAGATAGAAATGTTAAAAGCAGGTGGGGATATAGTTTTGGAGTGGTTGGTGCAATTATTTAATAAATGTATGGAAGAGGGTAAGGTACCTAGGGATTGGCAGAGAGCATGCATAGTTCCTTTGTATAAAGGCAAAGGGGATAAAAGAGAGTGCAAAAATTATAGGGGGATAAGTCTGTTGATTTTACCTGGTAAAGTGTATGGTAGAGTTATAATTGAAAGAATTAGAGTAAGACGGAGAATAGGATAGCAGATGAACAAGGAGGCTTTAGGAAAGGTAGGGGGTGTGTGGACCAGGTGTTTACAGGAAACATATAAGTGAACAGTATTTAGATAAGGCTAAAGAGGTCTTTGTGGCATTTATGGATTTGGAAAAGGCGTATGACAGGGTGGATAGGGGGCAATGTGGCAGATGTTGCAAGTGTATGTTGTAGGAGGTAGGTTACTGAAAGCAGTGAAGAGTTTTTACGAGGATAGTGAGGCTCAAGTTAGAGTACGTAGGAAAGAGGGAAATTTTTTCCCCAGTAAAAGAGGCCTTAGACAAGATGTGTGATGTCCCCGGGTGGTTGTTTAATATATTTATAGATGGGTTGTAAGAGAAGTAAAATGCGAGGGTTTTGGCAAGAGGCGTGGAGTTAAAAGATAAAGAATCACACACAAAGTGGGAGTTGTCACAGCTGCTCTTTGCTGATGACACTGTGCTCTTGGGAGATCGAAGAGAAGTTGCAGAGATTGGGGGATGAATTTGGTAGGGTGTGCAAAAGAAGAAAATTAAAGGTGAATACAGGAAAGAGAAAGGGTTATGAGGATAACAAAAAGATTAGGTGATGAAAGATTGAAATCAGTTTGGAGGGAGAGAGTATGGAGGAGGTGAACGTATTTCAGATATTTGGGAGTGGACGTGTCGGCGGAGGGGTCTATGAAAGATGAGGTGAATCATAGAATTGATGAGGGAAAAAGAGTGAGTGGTGCACTTAGGAGTCTGTGGAAACAAAGAACTTGTCCTTGGAGGCAAAGGGGGAATGTATGAGAGTATATTTTTTACCAACGCTCTTATATGGGTGTGAAGCGTGGGTGATGAATGTTGCAGCGAGGAGAAGGCTGGAGGCAGTGGAGATGTCATGTCTGAGGGCAATGTGTGGTGTGAATATAATGCAGAGAATTCGTAGTTTGGAAGTTAGGAGGAGGTGCGGGATTACCAAAACTGTTGTCCAGAGGGCTGAGGAAGGGTTTTGAGGTGGTTCGGACATGTAGAGAGAATGGAGCGAAACAGAATGACTTCAAGAGTGTATCAGTCTGTAGTGGAAGGAGGGGGGGTAGGGTCGGCTAGGAAGGGTTGGAGGGAGGGGGTAAAGGAAAGGTTTTGTGTGCGAGGGGCTTGGACTTTCCCGCAGGCATGCGTGAGCGTGTTTGATAGGAGTGAATGGAGACAAATGGTTTTTAATACTTGACGTGCTGTTGGAGTGTGAGCAAAGTAACATTTATGAAGGGATTCAGGGAAACCGGCAGGCCGGACTTGAGTCCTGGAGATGGGAAGAAAAGTGCCTGCACTCTGAAGGAGGGGTGTTAATGTTGCAGTTTAAAAACTGTAGTGTAAAGCACCCTTCTGGCAAGACAGTGATGGAGTGAATGATGGTGAAAGTTTTTCTTTTTCGGGCCACCCTGCCTTGGTGGGAATCGGCCGGTGTGATAATAAAAAAAAAAATAAAAAAAATGATTGCAAATAAATTCTCATTGTTTTTTACCAAAAGCATTCATACTTTGTATGTTCATTTAATGCACATAGACAGCTGGCATTTGTTTGACAGACTGGTCAAGAACTACAATTTAATATTTATGATTTTAAAACTGAATTAAAAAAAAATTATCAAATGCATTGGTAATCTGTATATGCTCTTTTTATGAAAGTGTGCAGTTCATGTTTTTAATGGCTGAGGAAGTGGTGAGCAGCTTGAGAGATGAGAGAGTAAGAGAAAATGAGAGAGTGGTCCAGTTGCTGCCCACCACTACATGTCAGTCAAGTCCTCCCACACTATACTCAATGACAGCAGGAAGGGGGTGAGCATATGTAAAGAGTATCATGTTAGATATAAGAGTGGGTCAAAATATATGAGCGAGAATGAGAAAGAGGGAGACAGTCCAGCTTCTACCATTACACATGTACTGTATACTGTATTGTAGCTCTGTTCTGTATAGGTAACATATAAATTAATTTAACAATGTTATGCTATTTGTAAGCAATAAGGAAGAACACTGAAGGTAAAAAGAGTGGGTTAAGATTCTTGGTTAATAACCAAAAGTGGATACAGAATATTATGGCTCAGGAGTGCAGTTCCAATTATAACATGGGAGTCTATGGAAAAATTGGTTCAGTGTTCCAAGCACTTAACTTACAAAAAAAATTTCTTGGACGAATTAACATCATAAGTGTGAACCCATTGTACTGGTAATTCAATGTCACTAAGATAAATAAAGCAAACTCCATAGGGTTTACTCTTGAAAAGTGTTATAAGCAAGAGTTCTCCTATTCATATATGCATTAATAATGCACAGTAAGCTGTCTGTTATATTTCAATAATCCAAATATTGTACAAGTGTCTTCTAAAATCTGAGGTCACCCAACTCAAAAAGTCTCATGTATAAAATTTCAGACTCCACCACAAGTTTATAAAAATATCTATGGTCTTATTTGTGGAGGTCCAGCCATCATAGGAGGTCTCATTCCACCAGGGCCCATCATCATTGGCCCCATGGGACCACCCATTGGAGGTCGCATACCTGAAATACAAAGATTTGCTTAACACCAAGGGATAAACAAGCAAAAGAGTATCAGTACAGTTTTTTTTTTTTTTATTTAAGAAACCAGCCATATCCCACCGAGGCAGGGTGACTTAAAAAAAAAAAAAGTTTTTCTTTATAAATTTAGTAATTTACACAGGATAAAGGGTTACTAGCCTCTTGCTCCCAGCACTTTAGTTGTCTCCCACGACACATATGGCTTACAGAGGAAGAATTGTTCCACTTCCCCATGGAGATATAAGGAAATAATGAAGAACAAGAACTATTAAGAAAATAGAAGAAACCCCATTAGATGGAGGGAGTAAAGAAGTGAATGTTTTCAGATATTTGGGAGTTGACTTGTCAGTGGATGGGTTTATGAAGCATGAGGTTAACAGTAGAATTGATGAAGGAAAAAAGGCAAGTGGTGCATTGAAGTATATTTTTCTTTTCTTTCAACAAGTTGGCCGTCTCCCACCGAGGCAGGGTGACCCAAAAAAGAAAGAAAATCCCCAAAAAGAAAATACTTTCATCATCATTCAACACTTTCACCACACTCACACATTATCACTGTTTTTGCAGAGGTGATCAGAATACAAGTTTAGAAGCATACACATATAAAGATACACAACATATCCCTCCACACTGCCAATATCCCAAACCCCTCCTTTAAAGTGCAGGCATTGTACTTCCCATTTCCAGGACTCAAGTCCGACTATATGAAAATAACCCATTTCCCTGAATCCCTTCACTAAATATTACCCTGCTCACACTCCAACAGATCGTCAGGTCCCAAGTACCATTCGTCTCCATTCACTCCTATCTAACACGCTCACGCACGCTTGCTGGAAGTCCAAGCACCTTGCCCACAAAACCTCCTTTACCCCCTCTCTCCAACCCTTTCGAGGACGACCCTTACCCCGCCTTCCTTCCCCTATAGATTTATATGTTTTCCATGTCATTCTACTTTGATCCATTCTCTCTAAATGACCAAACCACCTCAACAACCCCTCTTCTGCCCTCTGACTAAAACTTTTATTAACTCCACACCTTTTCCTAATTTCCACACTCCGAATTTTCTGCATAATATTTACACCACACATTGCCCTTAAACAGGACATCTCCACTGCCTCCAACCGTCTCCTCGCTGCTGCATTTACCACCCAAGCTTCACACCCATATAAGAGTGTTGGTACTACTATACTTTCATACATTCCCTTCTTTGCCTCCATAGATAACGTTTTTTGACTATACATATACCTCAATGCACCACTCACCTTTTTTCCCTCATCAATTCTATGATTAACCTCATCCTTCATAAATCCATCTGCCGACACGTCAACTCCCAAGTATCTGTAAACATTCACTTCTTCCATACTCCTCCTCCCCAATTTGATATCCAATTTTTCTTTATCTAAATCATTTGATACCCTCATCACCTTACTCTTTTCTATGTTCACTTTCAACTTTCTACCTTTACACACATTCCTAAACTCATCCACTAACCTTTGCAATTTTTCTTTAGAATCTCCCATAAGCACAGTATCATCAGCAAAAAGTAACTGTGTCAATTCCCATTTTGAATTTGATTCCCCAAAATTTAATCCCACCCCTCTCCCGAACACCCTAGCATTTACTTCCTTTACAAACCCCATCTATAAATATATTAAACAACCATGGTGACATTACACATCCCTGTCTAAGACCTACTTTTACCGGGAAGTAGTCTCCCTCTTCTACACACCCTAACCTGAGCCTCACTATCCTCATAAAAACTCTTTACAGCATTTAATAACTTACCACCTATTCCATATACTTGCAACATCTGCCACATTGCTCCTCTATCCACTCTATCATATGCCTTTTCTAAATCCATAAATGCAATAAAAACTTCCCTACCTTTATCTAAATACTGTTCATATACATGCTTCAATGTAAACACTTGATCTACACATCCCCTACCCACTCTGAAACCTCCTTGCTCATCCGCAATCCTACATTCTGTCTTGCCTCTAATTCTTTCAATTATAACCCTACCGTACACTTTTCCTGGTATACTCAGTAAGCTTATTCCTCTATAATTTTTAGTCTCTTTTGTCCCCTTTCCCTTTATATAATGGGACTATACATGCTCTCCGCCAATCCCTAGGTACCTTCCCCTCTTTCATACATTTATTAAACAAAAGTACCAACCACTCCAACACTATATCCCCCCCTGCTTTTAACATTTCTGTCATGATCCCATCAGTTCCAGCTGCTTTACCCCCTTTCATTCTCCGTAATGCCTCACGTACCTCCCCCACACTTACATTCTGCTCTTCTTCACTCCTAAAAGATGATATACCTCCCTGACAAGTGCATGAAATTACTTCCTCTCTTTCTTCCTTAACATTTAAAAGTTCCTCAAAATATTCTCACCATCTACCTAATACCTCCATCTCCCCATCTATTAACTCCCCTACTCTGTTTTTAACTGACAAATCCCTACTTTCCCTAGGCTTTCTTAACTTGTTTAACTCACTCCAAAATTTTTTCTTATTTTCATTAAAATTTCTTGACAGTGCCTCTCCCACTCTATCATCTGCTCTCCTTTTGCACTCTCTCACCACTCTCTTTACCTTTCTTTTACTCTCCATATACTCTGCTCTTCTTATAACACTTCTGCTTTGTAAAAACCTCTCATAAGCTACCTTTTTCTCTTTTATCACACCCTTTACTTTCATCATTCCACCAATCACTCCTCTTTCCTCCTGCCCCCACCCTCCTATAACCACAAACTTCTGCCCCACATTCTAATACTGCATTTTTAAAACTATTCCAACCCTCTTCAAAACCCCCCACTACTCATCTTTGCACTAGCCCACCTTTCTGCCAATAGTCGCTTATATCTCACCCGAACTTCCACCTCCCTTAGTTTATACACTTTCACCTCCCTCTTACTTGTTGTTGCCACCTTCCTCTTTTCCCATCTACCTCTTACTCTAACTGTAGCTACAACTAAATAATGATCCGATATATCAGTTGCCCCTCTATAAACATGTACATCCTGGAGCCTACCCATCAACCTTTTATCCACCAATACATAATCTAACAAACTACTTTCATTACGTGCTACATCATACCTTGTATATTTATTTATCCTCTTTTTCATAAAATATGTATTACTTATTACCAAATTTCTTTCAACACATAGCTCAATTAAGGGCTCCCCATTTACATTTACCCCTGGCACCCCAAATTTACCTACTACTCCCTCCATAACATTTTTACCCACTTTAGCATTGAAATCCCCTATCATGTGGGAGTTCGATACGTGGATAGGGTAAAGTAATACTCACGTAGGCTCGTAGTACGTATAATTACGGATAATGTGGAGAGCGCCCAACAGCCTGCCTATCTCCTTGCTCACTCTCGTATAACTGACTGGCCGCCCACTGTACCCATATGTGAGGGGGTCTTTGAATACTGCTGTGGTCAGCACAATGAATACAAACAGTGACTCAGGCAGAGACGGTTGGTAGTGAGTCATCTACTGGTACACTGGTTACTGGTAACTGGTTACTACTACTGAGACCCCAACCACCATTACTCTCACACTTGATTCAAAACTCCCCACGCATTCACTCAACATTTCCCAAAATCTCTCTCTCTCCTCTACACTTCTCTCTTCTCCAGGTGCATACACGCTTATTATAACCCACTTTTCACATCCAATCTTTATTTTACTCCACATAATCCTTGAATTAATACAGTTATAGTCCCTCTTTTCCTGCCATAGCTTATCCTTCAACATTATTGCTACTCCTTCTTTAGCTCTAACTCTATTTGAAACCCCTGACCTAATCCCATTTATTCCTCTCCATTGAAACTCTCCCACCCCCTTCAGCTTTGTTTCACTTAAAGCCAGGACATCCAGCTTTTTCTCATTCATAACATCCACAATCATCTCTTTCTTATCATTTGCACAACATCCACGCACATTCAGACTTCCCACTTTGACAATTTTCTTCTTATTCTTTTTAGTAATCTTTACAGGAAAAGGGGTTACTAGCCCACTGTTCCCGGCATTTTAGTCGACTTTTACAACACGCATGGCTTATGGAGGAAAGATTCTTATTCCACTTCCCCATGGATATAAAAGGAAAAGTAATAAGACCAAGAACTATTAAGATAAAATCAAAGAAAACTCAGATGAGTGTGTATAAATAAATGTGTACATGTATGTGTAGGTAGTAGGTTGGTAGACAGCAACCATCCAGGGAGGTACTACCGTCCTGCCAAGTGAGTGTAAAACGAAAGCCTGTAATTGTTTTACATGATAGTAGGATTGCTGGTGTCCATTTTTTGTCTCATAAACATGCAAGGTTTCAGGTACGTCTTGCTACTTCTACTTACACTTAGGTCACACTACACATACATGTACAAGCATATATATACACATCCCTCTGGGTTTTCTTCTATTTTCTTACTAGTTCTTGTTCTTGTTTATTTCCTCTTATCTCCATGGGGAAGTGGAACAGAATTCTTCCTCCGTAAGCTATGCATGTTGTAAGAGGCGACTAAAATGCCAGGAGCAAGGGGCTAGTAACCCCTTCTCCTGTATAAATTACTAAATTTAAAAAGAGAAACTTTTGTTTTTCTTTTTGGGTCACCCTGCCTCAGTGGGATATGGCCGGTTTGATGAAAAAAAAAAAAAAAAAAAAAACTATTAAGATAAAATCAAAGAAAACTCAGATGAGTGTGTATAAATAAATGTGTACATGTATGTGTAGGTAGTAGGTTGGTAGACAGCAACCATCCAGGGAGGTACTACCGTCCTGCCAAGTGAGTGTAAAACGAAAGCCTGTGATTGTTTTACATGATGGTAGGATTGCTGATGTCTTTTGTCTGTCTCATAAATATGCAAGATTACAGGCATGTCTTGCTACTTCTACTTACACTTAGGTCACACTACACATACATGTACACATTTATTTATACACACTCATCTGAGTTTTCTTTGATTTTATCTTAATAGTTCTTGGTCTTATTACTTTTCCTTTTATATCCATGGGGAAGTGGAATAAGAATCTTTCCTCCGTAAGCCATGCGTGTTGTAAAAGTCAACTAAAATGCCGGGAACAATGGGCTAGTAACCCCTTTTCCTGTAAAGATTACTAAAAAGAATAAGAAGAAGAAAATTGTTTTCTTTCTTTTTTGGGTCACCCTGCCTCGGTGGGAGACGGCCGACTTGTTGAAAAAAAAAAAAAAATGTATGTGTAGTGTGACCTAAGTGTAAGTAGAAGTATATGTGGAGACAAAAAAAAAAATCATCCATGGAAGCAAAGAGGGGAATGTACAAGAGTATAGTGGTACTAACACTATTTTATAGGTGTGAAGCATGAGTTGTAAATGCTGCAGCAAGGAAGAGGCTGGAGGCAGTGAAAATGTCGTGTCTAAGGGCAATGTGTGATGTAAATATTATGCAGAGAAGTCGTAGTGTGGAAGTTAGAAGGTGTGGAGTTACTAAAAGTATTAGTTAGATGGCTGAAGAGGGGTTGTTGAGGTGGTTTGGTCATTTAGAGAGAACTGAACAAAATAGAATGACTTGGAGAACGTATAAATCTGTAAGGGAAGAAAGGTGGGGTAGGGGTCATCCTCAAAAAGGTTTGAGTTAGGGGGTATAGGAAGTTTTGTGGGTGACAGGCTTGGACTACCAGCAAGCATGTGTTAGCGTGTTAGAAAGGAGTGAATAGAGACAAATTGTTTTTTGGACCTGACGAGCTGTTCGAGTGTGAGCAGGGTAATATTTTGTGAAGGGATTCAGGGAAACTGATTAGCTGGACCTGAGTCCTGGAAATGGGAAGTACAATGCCTACACAGATACTACAGTTCAGATGTCACTCCATACAGTAAATATCCCCCCCCCCATAGGCACTGTACTTCCCACCTCAAGGACTCAAGTCTGGATAACCGGTTTCCCTGAATCCCTTCACAAAATATTACCCTGCTCACATTCCAACAGCTCAACAAGTCCCAACAAACATTTGTCTTCACTCATTCCTATCTAATATGCTCACACATGCCTGCTGTATGTCCAAGCCCCTTGCACACAAAACCTTTTTTTACCCTCTCCATCCTTTCCCAGGACAACCCCTACCCCTCCTTCCCTCCACTACAGGTTTATACACCGTCTAAGTCATCCTATTTTGCTCCATCCTCTCTAAATGACAAAAGAACCTCAACAACCTCCCTCTCAGCCCTCTGAATAATACTTTTAGCAACTCCACACCTCCTCCTAATTTCCACACTTCGAATTCTCTGCATAATATTTACACCACACATTGCCTTTAGACATGACATCTCCACTGCCTCCAGCCTCTTTCTTGCTGCAGCATTTACAACCCATGCTTCACACCCATATAAGAGTGTTAGTACCACAATACTCTCATACATTCCCTTCTTTGCCTCCATAGATAACGTTCTTTGTCTCCACGGATATCTCAATGCACTACCCACCCTTTTTTCTTCATAAATTCTATGGACTACCTTGTCCTTCATACACTCATCCGATGACAAGTCTACTACTATCTATGATAAAATAACTTAAGAACTAGCGAAACAGATCTATACTAATACTGTAGCTTTCTTTCCTTTCCTAGCAGGCATCTCTGAAAAAAATAATTGCCTTAAATTAGAACAAGGATACACTTGAGTAGCAAAAGATACACACAGAAATTTCTTACCTGGCATCATGCCTGGTGGCATGCCTGGACCTGGAGGGCCGCCCATCATTGGTGGTCCCATCATGGGTCCTCGTGGACCCATTGGGGGCATACCCATGTTGCCTGGCATGTTTGCAGCAGCCATGCCTGGTGGTCCCATGTTCCCCATACCTGGACCTCTTGGAGGACCTCCTGGCCCACCCATGCTCTGAGGCCCTGGACCCCCAGGACCTCCTGGCCCACCTGGACCTCCTGGGCCCCCTTTGCAATAAGAATATACAGTACATTATGTACATTATAAATTACTTTTAAATTAAATCACTATATTCATCATTCTTACACAGTTACCAGAAGTAATAAGCTCGTTGAGAGGTGTAAAATAAGGAAAACTTGTATGGGTAAGGTAAAACAGAAGACCATATAATAAAAACGAGATACAGTATCTCACATGAGTCAACACCATGAGCTTACCCTGCATGTTGGCTGGTGGTGGAATTGCTGCTCCCTTAGGTATCTTCCCTGCTTTGAATGCAGCGGCTGGAAAAGATGTCGGTCAAGATCATAATTAAGCTTTTTTTTGCTATAAATTTCAAAACAGACCCAAAACAAAGAAAATAATAATAATATTAAATATTAAACAAAAATATATAATCATAATTTGGGATTTTGCTATTCTCGAGTATTTGTTTTCAAGAAATTCAAGAGTGCTTACACACCAAGCCATAAAGGCATCAACAACAATTAAAAAATAAAGTTCATATTCGAGTGATAGTATGATCATCAGGATGCTCAAGAAAAGCAAGGAAACTGCACCAATATACTAACTTGTTGCATCAATCAAAGACTGAGCCTGCTCCTCCATCCACTTTTGGTAATATATCTTTACATTTTCTTTGTGTTTTCGTCCTTGGCAGTGAGTCTTCCGTACTGAGGGCTGTAACATTAAGCTTTCTGTTTAGCAAACATCTATCTGTCTGTTTATGCAAGTGTTTACATTAGAATGAAAGTAGCTTTGATGAATACAATGGATCCTTTTATGCTAATGTATAAAATAAAAGAAAAAATTCCCTAAAGGTGAGCACATATAAAATACTGTAATGCATTTTAACTATTATTTGGATAATTATACATTACACAGTACTGTACAAAGGAAAAAATACTGACAGTGTTTCAGTGTATTTAAAGTTGAGACTACAAAGATCTAGAAATCAATATAAGTAGCCAACAAAATTATTTTTACAGAAAGGGTATAAAGCATGTACATACTATACAGCAAAACTTTTACCATTATTTTAATGGTTAGAGGTCAACACAATGATTGAGATAGACCATAGTTTCAATGCTCAAAATATATGCATTTTGTAAATTACTGTATTGCAAAGAAATATAAATATATGCTCCAAACCAGAAGCAAAATAAGCCCAATATTACATAATTAAAATGTACATAAATGTACACAAAACATTAATATTTAGATAAAATGATGTGCACCCTATTAGCAATAATTCTTATTAAATAAGGTATTCTGATGTACATAAAATGAAAATATTTTACAATAAAAGGACACTTACTAAGAAATTAAAACATGTGTTAGTAGACAACTTTTCTGTGATAATGATCTGCTTATCTAAGCTCCTAACTAATCTGTACAAAACTCAAGATTACAAAAGTACTGAGTTACGATCCTTTCATGAGTATGGATTGGATGCCTGATAAATGCTTTGCATTCACATAATTTGTTCGTCTCATGAAAACACAAAATAAAATTACAAATGTTACTTACATCCACAATATGTTTTGCTTTACTGTCCTGCATTTCTTAACTCCTATTTCTGTAATACTGTAGTATACACGTTCTTTCCAATTGATGAGGAATTCTCTGATGCCAGACTGCAGAGGCAATGAGCCTCAGAACCATAGATGAAATCATCCACTGTCAGCTTTCCAGTGTGATAAATTGAATAAAACTTGCATTCCTTTTGAATGCTACACAATGAGCTCATTCACAAATAACTAATGCAAATAAGAGCAGTGGTAGTAAAACAGTTAAATTGGAGGCTGCCACAGTAAAAACCTCTGTTCCACAAGGCATAGTACTCACCCCATCCTGTTCCTCATATTCATATCAGACATAGACAGCATCTCAATTCTCACACCAACCAGCCAAGAAGGCTTCTTGCCCCTGCTTTCTTCCACTCTAGCATACTGTGCTTTCACAGGGGCAATCAATGAGCCATTTAAATCAAACATTTTTCTCTGTATTCATATACTACTGTACTGTAGCTTAGTCCACACATCTTGTGAACCTCAGCATTACACAGACATTTTTACACTTTTTATTTTTATTCAATCAATTCCATTGTTTTACTGTATTCATTAATTCATATTCAGCTACGATGTAATTTATGAAGGCTTTTCTTGCACATTCTACAATTAACTTGCCTCTATTCCAGTTCAAGGGTGCTTAGTCAAGATGGACATACATTAATGCCAAATTTTAAATGCCTCATTTTTTATTAATAACTGATAATGCTTTTATGGAAGAATTTCCCATTTTCCATCTACAATCTTTTATGTACATTAATTCTTTAGAGTTTTTATTTATTTATTTATTTATTTTATGTCTTTGCAAAGAGTACATTGAGATTACAGATTGAGTTACAGTACTCAAATTTCACAAAAATTTTAGTTATATTGCATATTAGTCTTTAGCAATATTTACTATTTAAAACAAAGTAAATTACATTTCAATCACCCAACTTGGTTAAAACAGTATACAGTAATCTACAAACATCAGCTTTACTATATGCACTACTTACGGAGTCATGTGTGAGGTATGTGTCACAGTAATCACAGTAGTATCTGAAATGTGCAATAAACAAATGAGATGTTAGCTTTAAATTTTAAACATATTTTCTAATGTAGTAAAATGATACTGTATTAGCAAATTTTCTTACAAAAACAACAAAAATTAAACCTTATACCTGTAACGAATATAATTATCTTCTGCATTATAAACCAAGCATGATAGGTTGACAAACATACTGTACAGTACCAGCATGTGTGACCACCCACCCACCCACCCACCCACACACACACACGCACACACACACACACACACACCACATATATACATATATATATTTTTTTTTTCAACAACTCAGCCGTCTCCCACCGAGGCAGGGTGACCCAAAAAAGAAAGAAAATCCCCAAAAAGAAAATGCTTTCATGATCATTCAACAGTTTCACCACACTCACACATAATCACTGTTTTTGCAGAGGTGCTCAGAATACAACAGTTTAGAAGCATATACGTATAAAGATACACAACATATCCCTCCAAACTGCCAATATCCCAAACCCCTCCTTTAAAGTGCAGGCATTGTACTTCCCATTTCCAGGACTCAAGTCCGACTATATGAAAATAACCGGTTTCCCTGAATCCCTTCACTAAATATTACCCTGCTCACACTCCAACAGATCGTCAGGTAGGTTGGTAGACAGCAACCACCCAGGGAGGTACTACAGTCCTGCCAAGTGAATGTAAAACAAAAGCCTGTAATTGTTTTACATGATGGTAGGATTGCTGGAGTCTTTTGTCTGTCTCATAAATATGAAAGATTACAGGTATGTCTTGCTACTTCTACTTACACTTAGGTCACACTACACATACATGTACATGTTTATTTATACACACTCATCTGAGTTTTCTTTGATTTTATCTTAATAGTTCTTGGTCTTATTACTTTTCCTTTTATATCCATGGGGAAGTGGAATAAGAATCTTTCCTCCGTAAGCCATGCGTGTTGTAAAAGTCAACTAAAATGCCGGGAACAATGGGCTAGTAACCCCTTTTCCTGTAAAGATTACTAAAAAGAATAAGAAAAATATATATATATATATATATATATATATATATATATATATATATATATATATATATATATATATATATATATATATATATGACACTGTGCTCTTGGGAGATTCTGAAGAGAAGTTGCAGAGATTGGTGGATGAATTTGGAAGGGTGTGCAAAAGAAGAAATTAAAGGTGAATACAGGAAAGAGTAAGGTTATGAGGATAACAAAAAGATTAGGTGATGAAAGATTGAATATCAGATTGGAGGGAGAGAGTATGGAGGAGGTGAATGTATTCAGATATTTGGGAGTGGACGTGTCAGCGGATGGGTCTATGAAAGATGAGGTGAATCATAGAATTGATGAGGGGAAAAGAGTGAGTGGTGCACTTAGGAGTCTGTGGAGACAAAGAACTTTGTCCTTGGAGGCAAAGAGGGGAATGTATGAGAGTATAGTTTTACCAACGCTCTTGTATGGGTGTGAAGCATGGGTGATGAATGTTGCAGCGAGGAGAAGGCTGGAGGCAGTGGAGATGTCATGTCTGAGGGCAATGTGTGGTGTGAATATAATGCAGAGAATTCGTAGTTTGGAAGTTAGGAGGAGGTGCGGGATTACCAAAACTGTTGTCCAGAGGGCTGAGGAAGGGTTGTTGAGGTGGTTCGGACATGTAGAGAGAATGGAGCGAAACAGAATGACTTCAAGAGTGTATCAGTCTGTAGTGGAAGGAAGGCGAGGTAGGGGTCGGCCTAGGAAAGGTTGGAGGGAGGGGGTAAAGGAGGTTTTGTGTGCGAGGGGCTTGGACTTCCAGCAGGCATGCGTGAGCGTGTTTGATAGGAGTGAATGGAGACAAATGGTTTTTAATACTTGACGGGCTGTTGGAGTGTGAGCAAAGTAACATTTATGAAGGGATTCAGGGAAACCGGCAGGCCGGACTTTAGTCCTGGAGATGGGAAGTACAGTGCCTGCACTCTGAAGGAGGGGTGTTAATGTTGCAGTTTAAAAACTGTAGTGTAAAGCACCCTTCTGGCAAGACAGCGATGGAGTGAATGATGGTGAAAGTTTTTCTTTTTCGGGCCACCCTGCCTTGGTGGGAATCGGCCAGTGTGATAATAAAAATATATATTATATATATATATATAATATTATATATATATATATATATATATATATATAATATATATATATATATATATATATATATATATATATATTTATATATATTAATAATTTATATATATTTATATATATTTATATATATTTATATATATTTATATATATTTATATATATTTATATATATTTATATATATTTATATATATTTATATACATTTATATATATTTATATATATATATGCAAAACAACCACTGTGAAAGAATAGAGAAGTTCCAAGCGCTTTCGTGACTACTCACATTATCAAGGAACAATGAAAGTAAAGCATCAAAGGAAGATATATAAAGGGGTAGCCCACACCTCACTATCAGATCCCACAAGCACTGCTGCTTTACATCACACATATGAAGAGGCAAACCATTATTTATACAGTAACTGATGTCTTCTTCCTATATGCCACCCATATTGTACCTCTATCTAGCACAATATCAGGCAAGTAGTGTTTCATCTAGGCAACCACACTAAAAAAATTCTGAATATTTTACACAAAAAAGTACCTCCCCCCCAAAAAGCAGAAACTTTATGCAAATAAAAAGGTCGAAAAATACTGAAAAGCCTACCTGAAGAAAATATGTTCCCCAGTAATCAACTTTACATGGAATGTCAAAGAATGGTGCCTATAAGTTCAGCCTTACAAGACCACACACATTTTATAGATAATAAATACTGTACAATCTAACCAATACTGTTCTTGATATAACTAAGGCATGAATATGTTACTATCACATCTGTAAAAAAAAAAAAAAGTAGCAATAGCCCAAACCCTTCAAAACCCATCTCTTCTACACATTCTGGCCACAATTTTCTCCAAGCAGAGTTCAAAGTCCTGGAAGTCACTCCGTTCCAAGACTTACCTATAAGGTTTATGCAATGGAGGATATTAAGGTGATGTTTGATTTTTTAGCTAAAATTCATGGATTTTCAAACTTTTTTATCAGAATTACTGATGGAATTGAATTTTATGCTGAAAGTAACTCAAATATCAGTCCCCGTGGTACAGGCAGCTGGTTCAGCCCCCGTCGTACTGGCAGCCGGTTCAGTCCCCGTGGTACTGGCAGCTGGTTCAGTCCCCGTGGTACTGGCAGCTGGTTTCTCGCCCTCGAGACCACCTCACCCTCAACCCCCCACCCACGCCTCCCCGCGCCCTCGCCTTCTGCAGCGTCGTCCGGATCGCCCCCGCGCCAACACCGTTACCTGGCTAAGATACGTTGATGATATATTGGTTTTCTATCCGAGACGTCTCAATATCCCAACTCAGGTAATATCTTCATCGACAACTCAAAAGAAACTGAACCCTAGTACCGAACAAGGTTCACAAGAACGAATCAGTAGTCATTCTAGATGACTAAATACTAGAGCTGTTTCAGAAAAAGATATTCACTCAGCTATGAGTCCCTACTTTGCTAAAGTGAAAGTTGAAATAGACGAGACTCAATTAGTTGAAATTAATTCCTTCCGTGATACTGGAAGTTATTTAACATTGTTGAAGCAGGACATACTTCCTGTAAGTGATATGACTCGCACAAAGCTAGATGTCTTATTAGAAGCCTATGGAGACGCCATTATAAGAGTGCCTCTTCACAGGATATACATCCAAACACCAACCTATACTGGCTTTGTGTCGGTAGGTATATCCAGTGAAACTTTTCCTATTCAGGGCGTTGACTTACTCATAGGCAATGATCTAGACCAGTGGTTCCCAAACTGGGGGTAAATTACCCCCTGGGGGTAATTTAACCATCTTTGGGGGGTAATGGAGGGGTGACAGAAAAAAAGTTATGAATTCTGAAAATCAAGAAAACAATGCGGTACCCGGTATGCAACACTCCCTACCCTGGGTTATCCTGGCTGGCTAACACTCCCTACCCTGGGTTATCCTGGCTGGCTAACACTCCCTACCCTGGGTTATCCTGGCTGGCTAACACTCCCTACCCTGGGTTATCCTGGCTGGCTAACACTCCCTACCCTGGGTTATCCGACCCTCGACCAGCGATGGCATCGATTAATGATAAATCCGACTAGTGATACATTTTAACGCAAAAATTTAGCCTCGACTAGCGCTAAAAAACCCGGCCAATGCTATTTGTTCCGTTCGAGACTCATCCACTTTGGCCTGTGTGTGTATATGTATGTATGTATGTATGTATGTATGTATGTATATATGTGTGTGTGTTGTGTGTTGTTATATATATATATATATATATATATATATATATATTATATATATATATATAATATATATATATATATATATATATATATATATATATATCAAGATTATTGCAGCACCCTCTTGTGAGACACTCCATCATCAGAAATTAACATCAAAGAAGAGATGGCTTCCCAGGGGAGGTAAATGCAGTGGGAATATTGGTCTTTGTATTCCACCAATACAATCACCCACCCGGCCTCCCACCCACCCACCCACCCAATGGAAATAAGTCACTCTGTCTGACTTTTTTGGGTTATCCCAGGTTCTCTACACATATGCTGCTATGTATGATAATTCTATGTAACTGTATTTGTGTATACCTGAATAAACTTACTTACTTACTTACTTAGCCTTGTGTACATAATTAACACATCAGTTCTCAAATCAAGTTATAAATTATATCATAATCTTCTGTAAATCCTTTTCTAATTCTTTTAAGATTTTTTTCATTTAACATTATAAGGAGAATTAAGGACATAAAAAACAAATACCACAATAGGCCTATTGGCCCATGCTAGGTGGATTCAATTCTCACTCATTCATACATGTGCCCAGGAGGGAGGTTGTCTGACTTAATAAAGTATAAAAACAAGTTATCAAACATGATTTTGGGGAGAATTTAACAAATTCTTCAAATCAGCTACTGACAAACCAGGCTTGGTTTGGAAGATGGATTGTGACCAGAACAAGCAGCCTAATGCTGAGGCCTTGATCCAGGAGGCCTGGTCTGAGACCGGGCTACATCCTCAAGAACCCCAGTAGAAATAACCACTTTGACCTTTTTTTTTGGGTTATCCAAAGTAATTAACACATGTTAACATGTATGATAATTTGTGTGATTGTATTTATGTGTACCTGTACCTAAATAAACTTACTTAAAGGCATCCGTGAAGTTTAGGTTATACCTGGAGAGGGTTTGAGTTGGGTTAAGTTAGTGTCTGGTAGTTAATGACCTCAAAAATCACAGATGTCAGTGAATTATCGAGGAAGTAAGGTTGGTAATTTATTAAAATGGAACTATGAATTATCTGATCCCATAATTTAGAATAGGAAGATGTTAAGCAATTATGTCAAAAATGCCTTTAAACCTCATCTTAGCAGAACTTTGACCCCTACAAGATAATGACACGAAATAAAAATATTATTATATTCAGAAATATAAAAGAGGTGCGTGATTACTGTATTATTCACGGAGAAGCGCTAAACCCGTAAGGGTAATGAGGTTTGATTCAAGGAAGAGAAGTGTATCTCTAATTTCTCAGATCATGGGTCATCGCCAGCATCAAGGTCCCGCAGTCCCTTAAAACAAAACACTTGCAAGAACTTCAAACCCAAAACTAAAGTGGTAAATAATGCCTCGGCTACCATGCATTTAAAACACACACACACACAGTTCGTATAAGTCCTCATGACTGGCTCTCAGGAGATCACTCACTTATCTAAAAGAACAGCTGGAAGCATTGTCCATAATTTTACACATATGTGAGCCTGGCAGCATTCAGACTCAGTCAGCAAGAGACAAATATGATAAAACTCACTTGGGCATGACTGTGTTGTGGCGGCGTCTGGTAAACACTGTGGCCGCCGCAACATTCACTCACAACACAAATATAAATATTAATACAAATACAAATTTCTTGCTTTTCTGCAGTATACAGTAAAGTAGTTTACGTGTAATAAAATATTGTTAGGTACATAAACCACTATTATGTAGTGCATTTCGGGCAATAACAACTATCACTGGAAATAAATCACTGACTTTTTTGGGTTTTCCTAGATAATTTACACGTATGTTATTAGGTATAATACCCCTCAAGGAAGGTTCCTTGATGTTGGTGAGGGGCTCTTGATTTAGGGAATTGGATCTGTGCTCCAGTTCCCCGAATTAAGCCTGAATGCCTTCCACATCCCCCCCCCCAGGCGCTGTATAATCCTCCGGGTTTAGCGCTTCCCCTTGATTATAATAATAATAATAATAATAATTAGGTATAATAATTATAAATGTGTATACGTATACTTAAGTAAACTTAATCATATAACTCATTCAAACACAATTGTTATCCCGTTTGGTAATTATAATATTTATTATTTATTTATAATGATTTAATGGAGCCAATTTTATTATTTTTGAAGACATACAGTAATATTATTAAACAATTCTAAAAACCATTTTTATTCTCGACTTTGTTACTTCCCCGCCAAGTAAATCCACATTAATTATTTTACCTGTTTGGGCATTATTTAATATCTGATATATATTTTTTAAACATGTTAGACATTAAATCCAAATATTAGCCTGGAAGGTATAAGTAAGGGAGTGTGAGGGAGAGGTGAGGGAGAGGTGAGGGAGGAGTGAGGGAGAGGTGAGGGAGGAGTGAGGGAGCAGACGACCCGGCCACTGATGTAACCTGCGGAGGTGGAGTATTTCTGACGGATACTTTTTTTTTTTTTTAACTGTCCCAGGGATCATCTACATCCCCCACACATGGCTCACCGGCTGCTGACGGCAGCCAGGAGGCTGGAAAGGCTGCTACAACAGGGCAAGAGAACAGGTTCTCTGGATCCTCTTCTGGTGAGGCTGTCTACCCACATGTATTTTGACCACTAATATAACCAAAACTTGGCTTAGCGCTTCTTTTTTGATTATTTATTATTATAATTATCACACTGGCCGATTCCCACCAAGGCAGGGTGGCCCGAAAAAGAAAAACTTTCACCATCATTCACTCCATCACTGTCTTGCCAGAAGGGTGCTTTACACTACAGTTTTTAAACTACAACATTAACACCCCTCCTTCAGAGTGCAGGCACTGTACTTCCCATCTCCAGGACTCAAGTCCGGCCTGCCGGTTTCCCTGAACCCCTTCATAAATGTTACTTTGCTCACACTCCAACAGCACGTCAAGTATTAAAAACCATTTGTCTCCATTCACTCCTATCAAACACGCTCATGCATACCTGCTGGAAGTCCAAGCCCCTCGCACACAAAACCTCCTTTACCCCCTCTCTCCAACCTTTCCTAGGCCGACCCCTACCCCGCCTTCCTTCCACTACAGACTGATACACTCTTGAAGTCATTCTGTTTCGCTCCATTCTCTCTACATGTCCGAACCACCTCAACAACCCTTCCTCAGCCCTCTGGACAACAGTTTTGGTAATCCCGCACCTCCTCCTAACTTCCAAACTACGAATTCTCTGCATTATATTCACACCACACATTGCCCTCAGACATGACATCTCCACTGCCTCCAGCCTTCTCCTCGCTGCAACATTCATCACCCATGCTTCACACCCATATAAGAGCGTTGGTAAAACTATACTCTCATACATTCCCCTCTTTACCTCCAAGGACAAAGTTCTTTGTCTCCACAGACTCCTAAGTGCACCACTCACTCTTTTTCCCTCATCAATTCTATGATTCACCTCATCTTTCATAGACCCATCTGCTGACACGTCCACTCCCAAATATCTGAATACATTCACCTCCTCCATACTCTCTCCCCAATCTGATATTCAATCTTTCATCACCTAATCTTTTTGTTATCCTCATAACCTTACTCTTTCCTGTATTCACCTTTAATTTTCTTCTTTTGCACACCCTACCAAATTCATCCACCAATCTCTGCAACTTCTCTTCAGAATCTCCCAAGAGCACAGTGTCATCAGCAAAGAGCAGCTGTGACAACTCCCACTTTGTGTGTGATTCTTTATCTTTTAACTCCACGCCCCTTGTCAAGACCCTCGCATTTACTTCTCTTACAACCCCATCTATAAATATATTAAACAACCACGGTGACATCACACATCCTTGTCTAAGGCCTACTTTTACTGAGAAATAATTTCCCTCTTTCCTACATACTCTAACTTGAGCCTCACTATCCTCGTAAAAACTCTTCACTGCTTTCAGTAACCTACCTCCTACACCATACACTTGCAACATCTGCCACATTGCCCCCCTATCCACCCTGTCATACGCCTTTTCCAAATCCATAAATGCCACAAAGATCTCTTTAGCCTTATCTAAATACTGTTCACTTATATGTTTCACTGTAAACACCTGATCCACACACCCCCTACCTATTATAATAATAATAATAATAATAACCAAAACTGCCTCTTGATTATCATAGCCATACATGTTGTTATATGGCCATGTTGGGTTATCCTAGATTAAATCATAATATAACAGTAAAGCAGTACTATTTAACTTCAATTACCCTAGGCCAGGAACCCTAATGGAATTAAGTCATTATTTGACTTCAATTCTTTATTTCAAAATTACTGTACTTAAAAAAATACAATAGTTTGAAGGCCTATAGGATGCACAGCTTTTCAGGTTATCCTAGATGAGACTATAAATATGCTTCTCATGTACCAATACCACTTGTCTGCCTTAAAGAACAAAAGGCACAATACTGTGACTGGAACAATACACAGATAACCTGCACATACAAGAGAGCAGCTTACGACATCGTAATCTCCTCTCTCTCTCTCTCTCTCTCTCCCCCTCTCTCCTATGTGCAGGTTATTTGTGCAGTCTGCCGTTTTGTGTGTCCTCAAGGGCATTATAATAACTGTTTTTATGCTGTGTACACAAAACCTGAATATAAATAAATTTAAATCTTAAGGTTTTATTCTGGTTCAGTGCACAAGTTTCTATTGTCTTGAGTTATTTATGTGTACATTAACCAGGGATACCCCAGTCAGCTCTTAACTCTGATATATTTGTTATTTCTTGGATTTTGTTTAGATTAACCCAGAGCATTCATAACCCAAGAAAACCACTAGGATTTGCTTCTGTTGGGGTCCTTTGATCTTCTTCCTTGGATAATAATAATAGTAATAAATAATAATAATAATAATCTTTATTTCTACAAGTACATGTACAAGGTATACAGGCCAATCTGACATCAATGACATATATACTATTATATAGAAAGCCCTTGGTTATGCAGAGTATAACATCCAGGTACCTGTTTTACTGACAGATGAATAGGGACAGCAGGTGTCTCATGGAAATGCATCCTAATGTTTCCACCCATAGGGACACTAGGTATCTTATGAAAACATGTCCTAATGTTTCCACCCATACTGGGGCTCAAACCACGGACTTCAGTGTGTGAGCTGAATGTGCTAACAATCGAGCTACAGGACACTAGGTGACTAGGAATAACCATGTACCTCAAACAACATTCTCACCCTACTACTCTATAATCTATTCTTACCTCACTTGTGGTAACTGCCTATTTGTATTTGTACCTATTTGTAGCTACAGGAGCAGAGTTATGCTCATGGTGTCCCCATCTTCGGTAATTTGTTCCTCATATACTTAGTATGTATGCATGGGGATCTACAACAACAAATTGCCTAAAATCCATAACTCGACAAAAATCTGCGATTAGAATGATTATTTGCAGGCTCCAGACAACATACACCCATACAATGCAAAAGTTTAGGTTTAAGTTGTTTCTAGAACAGTTTGTGAGAGAGCCAACTAGAGGAAATAACCTGCTTAACCTGGTTCTGGTAAATAAGGAGTCTGAGATAAATAATCCTGAGAATAATGAAGAGGTTGGAGAAAGAGATCACATATTACTTAGTTTCAGTATCTCTTGGAGTGACCTAAATGAACATAAAGTGGAAGTTCCTGATTTTCAAACTGTTGATATCCTGGGACTGAGGGATTATCTCTGGAATATATAGACAACAGTAGCCTGACCAGGGATTATCAAGAGGGTGACTTGATAGATGGTGAAGATAGTTTCCAATATATGTTTCAGAACACCATGCCCTTCAAGGGAAGGTCCTTGATGCTGATGAGGGGCTCTTGATCTAGGGAATTGGATCTGTGTTCCGGTTCCCCGAATTGAGCCTGAATACCTTCCATCCCCCCCCCTACATGTGCTGTATAATCCTATGGGTTTAGTGCTCCCCCATAATTATAATTGTAATAATCAGAACATCAAAATGTGTTCATTTCTAAAAGAGATATATCAGACAAAACCCTAAATAGATAAACAGTAGACTAAAATATCTCTTAGGTGTAGAGACAGACATATTCAGGCAAATCAAGACAAAGTGAATCGCCTTATGGACTAATTTATTCAGTTTAAAAGGGCTAAATCCATCTGCCTCCCAAATCCCCCAATAAAAATAACACTGCTTCAAATCAAGTCCCCTAGCCCCTGCCCCTTCCAACAATACGGCCATCCCTAAGCCCCTTCTATATAAAACTTTGAGCCACCTCTGAGGGAAGTCAAAGGAGATTATGAAATTAAGGATGTAAGGGAATCAAAGACTACCCCAAAGGGTTTCTTTCAGGTCTATAGGGTAAGAATAGAAAAAAGATAGACTCATCTAAATGTCACTAAGTCAGCTCACTGTTAGTTACATAGAGGTGTGTGTTCCATTTTCCTACATTTATTTCCTTTCTCTATACACAAATGTATACAAATGAAATTCCATATTTGTGACATGATCATTCGTTAGTGACATGATCATCAGATAAATATATTACAACCAAACAGGTCTCCAGGCCCTGACACTCTTTTCAAGGTTCTAAAGGAATGTAAGGAACTTAGTAAACCATTAGATAGACTCTTCAAAAAATTACTACAAACGGGTATATATTGTACAGGAAAAGCAGAAAAAGGCAAATGTGATACACATTTGCAAAGAAGGGGCTGGATCCTTAGCTTCAGATTACTGATCAGTTAATCAAACTGCAATTGTAGGAAAGTTGGTAGAATCAGTAATTGTTGAAGCAGTTTGTAGCCACCTTGAAAGATTAAATTTGATCAATGAATCTCAGCCTGGTTTTACAAAGGAGGATTCATACCTTGCAAATTTACTAACTATTTTCACTAAGGTATTTGAGGCAACAGACCAAGATTAAGAATATGATATTGTGTATGTGGATTTCAGTAAGACATTTGATAAGAGTACCTCACAGGAGTGAATGATGGTGAAAGAGTTTCTTTTTTTGGGGGGGGGTCACCCTACCTCGGTGGGAGATGGCTGGTTTGTTGGGGGGGGGGGAAGCCATCCAGCAACATAAGTTAGATTTTACTTTGGTTAGGTTAATGGATAACTTATATCTATATTTTTATTGTCACCAAACCTGCCACCTGGCTAACTTGCTAATGTCGGTGATCTTAAAAGTTGGTAACTTTGGCAGATACCCTTTACAGATTATTACACATTTATACAATAGTTGCAATAATTAATTGTTATAGGTACACATTGGTTTTAATTTATGCATATTTAACCAAGAATAATTCACAAAGCTGTTAGTTAATTCCAGTGCAAACAGTCTACAGAAATGCATACACCGTACCTGGTTATCCCTATGTTTATAATAATTGTGATAAGACATGTACAGACATTGTAGAAATTCAAAATGAGTGTAAAAATGTCAATTTAACCTGGGTGACTGAAGTTTGTTTATGGTTCCTTGATCCCTCAAAAGAGTTTCCTTGATGCTGGTGATGAATCTCTTGATCCCAACAATTGGATGTGTTCTCTCCATCAGACTTGATTGCTTCCCATTTCCCAGTTGCTGTATGACTCCTATGGGTTTAGCACTTCTCCCTAAATATAATATTGTATGTGAGCATGCACGTGTGCACATGCATGTACATATCTGTACATGTGTGCATGATAAATTAGTGGTATATATTATATACATACGTATATCGTCTTTCTTTGAACAAACCGGCCGTATGTCACCAAGGCAGTGTGTCCCAAAAGGAAAATTGAAAGTTTCTCTTTTTAAATTTTGTAATGTATACAGGAGAAGGGGTTACTAGCCCCTTCCTCTCAGCATTTTAGTCGCCTCTTACGACACACATGACTTACAGAGGAAGAATTCTGTTCCACTTCCCTGTGGAGAGTACTGTACATATATGGTACGTATTAATATATAATTGGGTGACTAGGTACAGCGGAACCTCCAATATCGAACTTAATACGTTCCAGGACCTAGTTCTAAATTCGAAAAGTCTGAAAATCGAAGCAATATTTCCCATAAGAAATAATGGAAATACAATTAATCCGTTCCAGAAACCCAAAAATATTCACAAAAAAATACATTTTATAGATATTAATTACAGTTTTACATACAACAAATATAGTTTTCAATTATGTATATAAATATAAAATAACATTTTTACTTACCTTTATTGAAGATTGGTGATGGCATCTGGAAGGTAGGGGGGAGGAGAGAGGGAGTTGGGGTTGGTGTTTGGAAGGAGAAAATCCCTCTGAGGACTTCAGGTAAAGCCCTCTCTGGGGTTACTTCCCTTCTCTGTCTTTTAATGCCACTAGGACCAGCTTGAGTCACTGGACCCCTGTCTCACAAAATAACTGCCCACAGTCCTGTTTCTGGCGCCTCTTTAACATTTCCCTAAAATGGGACATGGTTCTGTCACTGAACTGGTTCCAGGAGTTTTCTGTACCAGATCGGCATGCAACTTCCTTGCTTTCTCGCAAATAATCGTCTCTGAAACACTATCACCTGCCATCTCTTTATCCTTGATCCACACCAGCAACAACAACTCAACCTCTTCGACTATTTGTGGTCTTTTTTTGGTTAGCATATTAACACCTTTCGCAACATCAGCTTCCTTGATTTGTTCTTTCTTTGCTAGGATAGAACCGATGGTCGACTTGTTTTTCCCATACATCCTGGCAAGCTCAGCAAGTCTCACATCACTCTCATACTTCTGTATTATTTCCTTCTTCACATCTACGGTGTTTCTCACTTTCTTTACCATAGGGGTACCACTAGCAAGTTCTTTTGGGCCCATGGTAGCTTATTTCACAGTCCCACAAGCACTAAACACAATGAAATAATTGTTAAATGTTTATATGAGAGTGCAGGTTAGTGTTCACTTAAGCATCAACAAAGCCAAACTGGCTCACGGTGCCTGCACGGGGATGCGGACAGAACGGGCTGGCGGATAGGTCCGGTACCCAGTGGTCCAAAAATAGGGGCACATTCGATAATAGGGACAAAGTTGGTTCGAAAAAAGGGTTCTATTTTTCAAACGTTCGATAAGTGATACGTTCGAAATTTGAGGTTCCACTGTACAGTATAATAGCATTTTTTCCCTCAACACTGGCTGCTGTTACAGTAAACTTTCCATATAATAGACTAATGGGAGGGGGGAAAATTGTCTTAAGTGTTCATTAAATCAGAATGACAAAAAAAAAAATAGCAAAAAATGCACTAAAGTACTCTACTGTAAACCTAATTTAGTACTGTACACAGTTCAGTTATATTGATGGTTTACTGTACACTTAAGATAAGATAAGATTTCGTTCGGATTTTTAACCCCGGGGGGTTAGCCACCCAGGAAAACCCAAGAAAGTCAGTGCGTCATCGAGGACTGTCTAACTTATTTCCATTGGGGTCCTTAATCTTGTCCCCCAGGATGCGACCCACACCAGTCGACTAACACCCAGGTACCTATTTGCTGCTAGGTGAACAGGACAACAGGTGTAAGGAAACGTGTCGAAATGTTTCTACCCGCCGGGAATCGAACCCGGGCCCTCCGTGTGTGAAGCGGGAGCTTTAGCCACCAGGCCACCGGGCCACCATTGGTATTTAGTTGTTTTGTCTGATTGTTAAGAAAAGTTTAATAAAATTTGCCTCATCCACTCACAGGAGGTAAAACCCAGTCATGTTTTATAAAATGTATCTTGATTAACTTGGTCACACTTTCAACTTTTATACATGTATAAGATTTCTTCATAAATAGTGACTGGAATTTGCAACTACAGTATTGTGAGTTTTAAATAAACTTTTATTTTTTAATTTGAACCATTGAATGCAGTTTGAGACTTGCCTTATTTAGCATCCTTAACCGAATTGTTTTAATCTGCAGGTAGGACAACATCTCTCTCGGATAAATCTTCCATACAGCACAACACTTCTTGAACAGTGGCAACAGTTCTGCCAGAAGCCTCCCCGTGGTTTTGAAAAATATTTTAAAGAAGGTACAAGCAAACCAGTTCCAGTAAACAATGCTAAGACACAGCCCAAGTCCAGCTCCCCTGCAGAACCTTCGCAGAGAGCTACAACTAAGCCTTCAACTCCAAAGGACCCATTTAACATCAACTTGTTTGGCTCAGGAAGCAAGTATGTTTATATTATATATAGTGTACAGTACAGTATTTGTATATATCCATACATTTACAACAAAATGGGAATATTTCATTAAGTAATCACTTTTTTTTTTCTTTAAAATTATTACTGTATAATCACTTACACTTTTAATTATTTGACCTTGGATACCTTTTTTTTTTTTATTAACCTCCCTCCTGGTATATTCTCTGTATAATCACTTACAGCCTGTCCTTACTTAGTGACATACTCGTTTACTGATGCCTCGGACTTACAATGGGCGCTCTGACCAGTATGCATGCCTAAATTATGTATACTAGAGCTGATTTTCTCTATTCTGTTTTTTACAATGTACAGTACACTACTGCATAAACATTTAAAAATATACCAGAAATGTTATAAATGATGCAAAGGTGACATTAAAACAATATCAAAGATAGTTGACACAAACCCACTACCATTATAGTGTGCTCCTCATTTAGCGACGAATTTGTTTACCGACGTGGTCTTAACCCTTTCAGGGTTTCGGACGTACTAGTACGGCTTACACACCAGTGTCCATGACGTACTAGTATGCATAAATTCTAGTGCCTTCAAATCTAGTGAGAGAAAGCTGGTAGGCCTACATATGAAAGAATGGGTCTATGTGGTCAGTGTGCGCAGTATAAAAAAAATCCTGCAGCACACAGTGCGTAATAAGAAAAAAAAAAACTTGGACCATGTTTTTGGATTAAAACAGAGACTTTGCACTATATTTTCATATGGTATTTATTGTTGTATTCTAGTTTTCCTGGTCTCATTGTATAGAATGGAAGACATATTACAGAAATTGAGATTATTTTGACTGGTTTTACAATGAAAAATACCTTGAAATTGAGCTCAAAGTAGCAGAAATGTTCGATTTTTACCAAAGTTCAAAAGTAAACAATCATCGTCCCTTAGACATTAAGCTTACCTTCCGCCAGACTAACACTCTTCGCACTAATCTCGTTCATACCTCTCCTCCCTCTACAGATGTTCCTGGTGTCTACTCTATTTCTTGCTCCTCCTGTCCTCTTCAATACTTCGGAGAAACTGGTCGATCTCTTTCTGACAGACTTAGGGAGCACAAAAATAGTGTTAGGCTTGCCGACACTAACAATGCTCTTTTCTGTCACGTCAGAGATCATAGCCATCCTATTGACTGGTCTTCTGCTAAAACTGTCTTCCCTACTTCCAACTCGAACAGTCGCCGTCTAGTTGAATCCTCTCTAATACACAAACTTTCCTTGTATGAACCTTAGCCCTGGCTTCGTCTCTGTAGATGACTTCCTCTCCCACTACATTGTAAAATGCCCCAAAACTTCAGAACACCCGTGACTTAACCTGAATCCTCACTTTTTCTTTTTCTTTTTCTTCTTCCTCTTCCCCTTTCCTCTCTCCTTTTCTCCTCTGGGTTGTCTTTCTCTCTCCTGTCTCGTGTTTCTGTTCCTTCTTCATTTATTTTATTTCACCACTTCCCCTTTCACGCACCTCTGTGCGCTTGCTCTCCCTCTGTGGGTATCTAGCTCTCTTGCAGTGCTCCCCTTCCTTTGTATTTGACTGGCTCGTCTTCCTTATTTCCCACTTCTTCCGCTACCACTACTACTACCTCTTCTTCTTCTACTACAACTACTGTTGAAATTAAGACACATGTGCGGTGTCTGGTTGTCTTTGTTGTGGACGTTTCGCCATCCAGTGGCTGGCTGGATGGCGAAACGTCTACGATGGGATGGCCCGGGCGTTGTGCATGTGTCTTAATTTCATCCTGTCAGTATTATATACAATTCTTGTACTACTACTACTACTACTACTACTACCACCTCTTCCTGCCTATATATAGCCGTCCTGCTCCACCTCTGTTAGTGTGACTTTGTCAATGGTCCAAGTCGGACCGAAACGTCGTCGTAAGCTTCTCTCTTTTATGTGCGGGTTATTTGTGTATCTTTTGAAATTTGTGTGAAATTGGCAAAATTGCTAAATTCTGACCACTGTATTGGATAGTTGAAATCGGTAAATTGGTGGTTTCTTGTACTCATTCGATAGAAAAAAAATGGAGTTCTAGCGAAATAGTTATGATTTTTGTTGACTAGTACATTGGAATTGGCTGAAAATAGGGCTCAAAGTGGGCAAAATCGCCGATGCGTAAACATCGTTGAGACTGCTTACTTCGTGAGAGCATAATTCCGTAAGTTTTCCATCAAATTTCATACTTTTGGTGTCATTATGATTGGGAAAAGATTCTCTATCTTTTCATAAGATTTTTTTTAAATTTGGGGGACCCTGAGAACAAGGCTCTGAGAGGGCCTGTGGACCCTGAAAGGGTTAAGAACTGAACTCCATCGTTAAGTGAGGAGAGGCTGTATTTCAGCATTGTGTTCTAAGACTGCTACTGTACCACATCACATCTTGTTCTTGGGGTTATCCCAGTTGAATTAAGTAGTTTAAATCTCTAGTATAATTTGATGAACTTTAAATATTAATTGCTTAAAAGTAATAATTTCACTGGAATGATTTCAGTACAGGAGGGCCTCCCTTTACAGCACTTTGCTCTACAGCGTTTTGCTAATAAAGTGGTTTTTAATTATACCCATTCTTCATTTATCCAAACTTTTTCTTCTTTCAACGTACCAGCCGTATACCCCCGAGGTGGGGTGGCCCAAAAGGAAAAACGAAAGTTTCTCCTTTGAAATTTAGTAATATATACAAGAGAAGGGGTTACTAGCCCCTTGCTCCCGGCATTTTAGTCGCCTCTTACGACACGCATGGCTTACGGAGGAAGAATTCTGTTCCACTTCCCCATGGAGATTTATCCAAACTACCTACAATAAATATATTTGCCACTCACTGTAAGCTAAGTACTAAAATATTTTAAGGTAAGTAATGTGTGTACTTTATATGCATTTTTTAGGCCTAGCTGTATTGCTCAGTTAATATATGATCATGTAAACATATGCATTTGAAAGTGAAAAAAAGACTGTTTCACTTCAGTGATTTTTGCTTTACAGTGGTATCTTGAAACTTAACCTGCTGTATAAGTGGGGCCCTCCTGTGCTATGCATTAGGAAATCTAGAAAATGTTAAATTTAATAGTACTTGTAATAAAACTAGGGATATTAAATGCATGGAAATGTTCATTATCATATTTTCCTTAAATAAATAAATAAATTTAGTGAATATTTTTTAAGAATTTTTCCCTGTTGCCATTTCTCAGGTCTGGAGGTGGCGGAAGAGGTGGAGGTGGCAGTGGTAAACCAATTGGGGAGGGTGGTGAGCGTGACCGATGGTTGGCTTTTGCAGCTCTGGTTGCCATTGGATTCCTGGGAATAACAGCATACTACCAGATGGGATATCGTGAAATTACATGGAAAGAATTTGCTAAAAAGTAAGTTTACTCCTAAATATTACTCTGATATTGCATTTTCCAATTATACACTGGTACCTTGAACTACAATGGGACTGACTTGCGATAATTTTGAATTACACTTTAGCCTATGAAGAAATTTAGTTTTGAGTTGTGATGAAAAATTTGAGATACAACGCATGTACGATGTTTGGCATGCATGAGTGGCTCTCAGCCCAGAAACAAGACTGGGCGATAAAAAAAGTCTTTAATGGAGTGATAGTAGAAGGTGTGTTGGAGATGTTGGAGTTGGAGATGGAGATGTTCCAGACATTCCAGATATGGGGAGTGGGAAACTGTGGCAAGAGTAAATATTAAATCTACAATTCTTTACCAGTCTCTTTCTCCCTGCCCTGCCCCTGCCTTGCTTTACATGCCCCAGGAAGGCTGTATTGCCTGCCTGTTCTGGCCTGCCCTGCCTGCCTGTTCTGGCCTGCCCTGCCTGCCTGTTATGGCCTGTCCTACCTTGCTCTGCCCTGCCCTGCCTTGCCTTGCCTTGCCTTGCCTTGCCTTGCCTTTGCCTTTGCCTTTGCCTTTGCCTTTGCCTTTGCCTTTGCCTTTGCCTTTGCCTTTGCCCTGCCCTGCCCTGCCCTGTCTACTCTGCTTGTTCTGGCCTGTCCTGTCTGCCCTGCCTGCTCTAGCCTGTCCTATCTGCCCTGCATGCTCTGGCCTGTCCTGTCCTGTCCTGTCTGCCCTGCATGCTCTGGCCTGTCCTGTCCTGTCCTGTCTGCCCTGCATGCTCTGGCCTGTCCTGTCCTGTCTGCCCTGCCTACTCTGGCCTGTCCTATCCTGTCTGCCCTGCCTGCTCTGTCCTGTCCTGTCCTGTCTGCCCTGCCTGCTCTGTCCTGTCCTGTCCTGCCTGCCCAGCCTGCTCTGGCCTGGCCTGTCCTGTCCTGTCTGCCCAGCCTGCTCTGGCCTGGCCTGTCCTGTCCTGTCTGCCCTGCCTGTTCTGGCCTGGCCTGTCCTGTCCTGTCTGCCCTGCGTGCTCTGGCCTGTCCTGTCCTGTCTGCCCTGCGTGCTCTGGCCTGTCCTGTCCTGTCTGCCCTGCGTGCTCTGGCCTGTCCTGTCTGCCCTGCCTACTCTGGCCTGTCCTATCCTGTCTGCCCTGCCTGCTCTGTCCTGTCCTGTCCTGTCTGCCCTACCTGCTCTGTCCTGTCCTGTCCTGCCTGCTCTGGCCTGTCCTGTCCTGTCCTGTCTGCCCTGCCTGCTCTGTCCTGTCCTGTCCTGTCCTGTCCTGTCCTGTCTGCCCTGCCTGCTCTGGTCTGTCTTGTCTGTCCTGCCTCCTCTGCCAATGCCATTGGAGATTTCAAGCTAAAGCCTATGCTTGTTTGCCACTCAGAAGACCCCAGTGTGTTTAAACAGTAAAAAGTATCCAAGGGCAGGATGGTTGTTCTGGCATCTGGGAACAAATTATCACAAAACCATGTATTTTGGGGTTTGTTACAGTAGTTTTGAAGTACGATATGTCTTCTGGAACAGATTAATGTCGTAACTCAAGGGAGCACTGTACTTAGTCTGTAGTTGTTCTCATTATGGTATGTCACAGAAATGATTCTGCAAATTGGTTTAAATGTATACATTTTTTAGTACTACAATACAAAGACAGTTAATTGAAGAGGGTTTGGTCTTTTCAAAATATAGTAAAACTTTTTGGTGTACACTTTATGATTTTTCTTTTTACCTTTCTTGCATAATATCTCTACTCTTAATGGTTTTTGGGGATCATCGTCCCCATGTCCTGGTCTCAGACCAGACCTGAATTATGAAGAAAATGCTATGTGATTAAAAATTATCAAGAAGCAGAAAAGTAAAGATGCAAGCTGATAGAGAGATTGGCAAGATGCTGACAGCTGGTGAAAAAGACATAAATACAGTTGAGTCCTTTGTTTGTGAAACATTTCATTCAACATTGGGCTTTGTAAAATGCACAATACCATGACTGGAACAATGCACAAATAACCTGCACATGGGAGACAAACTTATGACATTTCAGTCTAACTTTGACCATTAACTACTTAATAGTCCAAGTTGGACCAAAAAATCTTCATAAGTTTTCAATAAGGTCAAAGCAGATCATGTGTTCTGAAGGTTAAAGAATTTGACAATGTACAATGTAGTATTTTGCATCTCCAAACTTGCCATTCACTATATAACATTTTTTGCAGTTATCTGGCTAAAGGCATTGTTGAGAAGCTGGAAGTAATCAACAAGAAATGGGTTCGGGTGAAATTGATGACGGGTAACCAGGTTGAAGGTGCTGTAAGTATGGGCCTGTGACAAGTACCAGTAATTAATTAAGTGACAATGTTGAGAGGCTAGATATGGCAAGTATTTAACACACATCATTATTCAAAAACCAGATTTCCTGTTCCTCAATCCCATTGTTACTTTTACATCTGTGTCTACAATGGAAAAGGTACCATTAGGTTTGGGTATCAGGAAAGCAACATGATAGTATTAGATGTGGACATGCTGTGAAAGTAGCATTTGAGTGCTGGATACAGTAACTGATATAATTTGCTATCCACATATCTTGATCATGTTTTCTGCATAAAATTCGTTAAGTCATTTTTTAGCCAAATTTGGATGAAAAGTAATACAAGCTATAAAAGAGAACAGGTATGATGGAACATTAATGTACTGTAGCCTGTGTGCTGCAAATGCTGACAGTAATCGTAATGAATGTTATCAACATAGTTCTTTGGTTTTAATAAGCAGAGTGGTATACTGATATAGAAAAGTAGGATTTTGGTATAAACTTTATTTTGAACGTAAAGCATCATTTTCCTTTTGCAGACTACATTGTGGTTCAGTATAGGTTCAGTTGATGCTTTTGAACGCAATGTTGAGGCAGCACAAATGGAGGCAGGAACAGAACCCAGCAACTTTATCCCAGTTGTCTACAAGAATGAACTTGAGGCTTCCACATTTACATCTTTCTTACCAACATTGCTCATAATAGGTACTGTAGTGCACCTTGAAGATTATAAAAATGTTTACAATTAAATATGTATTAAATTTTTTTAAGAATACAGTGGACCTCCGGTATTCGATGGCATCGGTATCTGATAAATTCAGTATTCGATGCATTTTAACGCAAAAATTTCGCCTCGGTATCCGATTGAAAACCCGGTATTCAATGCGATTCATACGAGACATGTCCACGTGTGGCCTGAACTGCCCCGGGTGTGCCAGGGTTTACAAGCTAGGCAGTGTGTGCGCATCTAAGGATAGATTCGGTACATTACATATTATCACTGTTTTTGGTGCTTGTTTCTGCAAAATAAATCACCATGGGCCCCAAGAAAACTTCTAGTGCCAACCCTTCGAGAAAAAAGGTGCTAATGACTATTGAAATGAAGAAAGAGATAATTGCAAGGTACGAAAGTGGAGTGCGTGTGTTGGAGCTGGCCAGGTTGTATAGTAAACCCCAATCAACCATCTCTACTATAGTGACCAGGAAAACGGCAATCAAGGAAGCTGTTCTTGCAAAAGGTGTAACCGTGATTATGAAACAGTGGCCGCAAGTGTTAGAAGATGTTGAGAGACTTATTGGTGTGGATAAATGAAAAACAGATAGCAGGAGATAGCATCTCTCAAGCGATCGTTTGTGAAAAGGCTAGGCAGTTGCATGACGATTTGGTAAAGAAATTGCCTGCAACTAGTGCTGATGTGAGTGAATTTAAGGAAATGTGTGCAGTGTGGCTTAAAGTGCAAACCTTTTTTGATGACAATCACCCTAACACAGGTATTGCAAGCCGTGCTGGTGACTATTACACTGACAATGTTGTGAATCACTTTAGAAAAGTCATAAAGGAACGAGAGGTACAGGCCTCTATGGACAGATATGTTGTGCGACAAGTCCAGTGACTCTCAAGCTGGTCCTAGTGGCATTAAAAGAAGAAGGGAAGTAACCCCGGAAAAGGACTTGCTACCTCAAGTCCTAATGGAAGGGGATTCCCCTTCTAAACAGTAACAACTTTGACTCTCCCCTCCTCCCATCCCATCAATCATCACCAGATCTTCATTAAAGGTAAGTGTCAATTATTCTATTGTTATTGTTGTTATTGTAATTATTCTATTGCATTAAACTTAATATTTCATGTGGTAAAATTTTTTTTTTCATACTTTTGGGTGTCTTGCACTGATTAATTTGATTTCCATTATTTCTTATGGGGAAAATTGATTCGCTTTTCGCTATTTTCAGTATTCGATGAGCTCTCAGGAATGGATTAATATCGAATACCGGGGGTCCACTGTAGATTAAATAGGAAGAGGTGATTTAATAGCACAAACATTTAATTTTTTCTTGCAGTAAAATTATATTTTTCACATTGTGTATGCTGTTGAAAAATTCAAGTTACTATAGATCCACGTATTATAAGAGCCATCCAAAGGCATACAATTCCTTTTACACTTACTGTAGTTATAGATAAACCATCTAGTCGGTAGCTTATTACAGTATTTGGCTAAGGTTTTGCAGTATATATTATATATGATATTATAGTATGGAAGTGGGAAGGGTAATGCCTGCTTTCTAGATGATAGGTGGAAATGTTGCAGTTGGAGTTTAATTTACAGTGGACCCCCGGTTAACGATATTTTTTCACTCCATAAGTATGTTCAGGTGCCAGTACTGACCGAATTTATTCCCATAAGGAATATTGTGAAGTAGATTAGTCCATTTCAGACCCCCAAACATACACGTACAAACACACTTACATAAATACACTTACATAATTGGTCGCATTCGGAGGTAATCGTTATGCGGGGGTCCACTGTAATTGTAATTTTAGCACATTTTCAGAAAGACAGCAGTTCAGTGAATGATGGTGCATGGTTTTTTCTGTAAGTCAACCTGCCTTGGCAGGACACAGCCATGGAGTTAAAAATTTAAAAGTCATAGGATTGATTTTTTTTTTAACACAGCTGTTTCCCACTGAGGCAGGGTGACTCAAAAAGAAAGAAAAAAAACCTTCAACATCTTTCAACACTTTCACTATCACTCATACATAATCAGTGTCTTTTCAGAGGCACTCAGATACGATGACTTAGACATCCCTGCAAACTGCCAATATCCCAAACCTCTCCTTTAAAGTGCAGGCATTCTTCTTCCCATTTCCAGGATTCAAGTCCAGCTAACCAGTTTCCCTGAATCCCTTCACAAAATATTACCCTGCACACACTTCAACAGCTCGTTGGGTCCCAAAAACCATTCATCTCCATTCACTCCTATCGAACACGCTCACGCACGCTTGCTGGAAGTCCAAGTCCCTTGCCCACAAAACCTTTACCCCCTCCCTCCATCCTTTTCGGGAACGACCCCTACCCCACTTTCCTTCCCCTACAGATTTATTTTAGTAAAATCTTGTATATGAATAATGTGGCTGTGTAATTAGTTTTGGCATTAGCTTTATATTATAATTACAGTAAATCTTCAGTCTAGTGAACTAGCATGGGTAAAGCTGGTGACCTGCAGTGATGATTGCTGTGTATAGGGTGAGATTGTTTTGCTGTGTTTGTAACAGTGATGTACAATTTTGTAACCAACAGACTGTCCATTGTATCCTAATCAATTAACCCAGCAGAATGTGCCCCTTATTTCCAAAGCCTGTTAAATTGAGAGTTTGCTGTAGTTATTAATTTCATGTGGAAACTTGAAATTGTGCAGCACCTGAAGGAATAGGAGGCAATGTGGCTTGGTCCAGGGAAAGGGAGAATAGGTTCAAATCCTTGGACCAAACATTAGCTTTACATGGGCAGTATTCTTAACATTTAAACATGTGCATAATACATGTCTACCATATTATTCATATTTTGCTTTTATATTCTAAATTTAATTTGCTGATCTTTGGATACTTTTAGGTTTTTTGATCTTCATGATGAGACGGTCAGCTCAGATGATGGGAGGGTCAGGTGGACGAAGGGGTGGAGGCCTGTTTGGTGGAGTGATGGAATCCACTGCTAAAATGGTTAATCCCAGTGATATTGGTGTTAAGTTCCAGTAAGTTGGGTGTGATGTGTGGATTCAACATTATTATATTTTAATTCTCTACCTGTATGCCTGTGTTTCTCACTCATTGTTTCCAGTAGTTTATGCAGCATTTTATTTTGTACTTTTTTTTTTTTTTTTACATTTACTTTTTCATTAACTCGTGTTATAGTGGAACTGGTATGGTAATACCGACAAGTTGTAGGTAAGACATGTATGAACTGATCAAACCATATAATAAGATAGCATTCCTCCATGAGAGGCTTCTTGAGGCCTCTGTACAGTGGATCCCTGGTTATCGGCTTGTTTGGTTATCGGCGGGTTTTTCGGCACCTGGTTATCGGCGGTTTTGGACGCATCCATCCGCTGGCTGGGGCAGCTCCCGCTTCAGTTTGGCTTTGTCTCTCAGTGGCTGAGGAGGCTTCTGCTCATACATCCAAACATTTCACTTGTTTATCATTGTTTTTAGTGGTTTTTCTTGCAGTGCAACTGTGAAATAAGTAACCATGGCTCCAAAGAAAGTTCCTAGTAAAGTTCCTGTGGTAAAGAAAGTGAGAAACGCTATAAAATTTAAGCATGACGTGATCGAAAAGTTTGAGAGTGGTATGAAGGTGATGGAGCTTGCCAAGATGTACAGCAAGAATAAATCAACAATTACATCCTTCCTTGCAAAGAAAGAACAAATCAAAGACACTAATGTTGCAAAAGGAGTAGCTTTTCTAACTAAACAAAGGACACCGATAATGGAAGAGATGGAAAAGTTATTATATTGTGGATTAAAGAAAAAGAATTAGTGGGAGACAGTGTCATGGAGTCGATTATTTGTGAGAAGGCGAAGCAGTTGCATGAGGATCTTGCAAAGAAAATGCCTGGAACAAGTGTTGCAGTTTGTGAATTTAGGGCCAGCAAAGGATGGTTTAATAGATTTAAGAAGTGTAGTGGCATACACAGTATTGTAAGGCATGGTGAGGCTGCAAATTCTGACAAATGTGCAGCTGAACAGTATGTTCACGAATTCCAGGACTATGTAAAGGCTGAAGGATTCGAACCCCCAACAAGTTTTCAATTGTGAGGATGTGGAAGAGTTGGTGGATGACCACAAGGAAGAGCCTACCACTGAAGAGCTGCAAGAGCTTCAACTTGAACAGCAACAGACTGCTGCTGAGGAACTTGCTTCGGAAGAGGAGGAAGAGGGAGTGAAGGAGGTGCCTTCTTCAGAGATTAAAGAGGTGTGTGCAATGTGGACCAGGGTGCAAGCTTTTGTAGAGAAACACCACCTTGACAAAGCTGAAACAAGCCATATCTACAACATATTTTGTGACAAAATCCTGTCCCACTTCAGGGAAATCTTAGAGACGCCAGAAACAGAGCACTCTGGACAGTTATTTTGTGAGACGGGTCCAGTGAATCTCAAGCTGGTTCTAGTGGCATTAAAAGACAGAGAAGGGAAGTAACCCCAGAGTAGGCATTACTACCTAAAGTCTTCATGGAGGGGGATTCCACTTCCAAACACTAACTCCTCCCTCTTTCCTCCTCCTTATCTTCCAGAAGCCAGCATTAGCCTTCAATAAAGGTATGTAATAGTTAGTTTAATATGTTTATTATGCACCCCATACCCATCCTGTGGGCGGTAGTCAAAAGATTACAGAGGTACATAATGGGTCCAGGGACTGGGCCTCAAAGTTTTGATAGCTGAGCAAGTTACAGAGGTAATGAATTCACAATTTACAAAGGTAATGAACTCACAATTTACAAAGGTAATGAACTCCAGGTAGGTCTAGTCACAATCATGACAAGTTACAAAGGTATTTACAGATTACAGAGGTACACAATGGGTCCAGGGACCGGGCTCCAAAGTTTTGATGGCTGAACTAGGTACAAGGTAATGAACTCACAAGTTACAAAGTAATGAACTCACAAGTTACAAAGGTAATGAATACTGTAAGAATGGTTACTTACGTTTATACATGGCTGCAATCATGAACAAATTTTAGAGTAATGAGCAATTCACACTTCCACACCCAGTCACAACTGTAGTGAGTTATTGGTGCAAATGTGATTGCTGAGTCTCTCCCTCACACACACACACACACACACACACACACACACACACACACACACAACACACATACAAATTCATACACACACACACACAAACACACACACACATACACAAACTCATACACACACATGCACACACACTCATACACACACACACTCATACACACACACACTCATACACACACACACCACACACACACACACACACTCAACACACACTCATACACACACCTACACACACACACACACACACACACACACACACACACACACACACACACACACACACACACACACACACACACACACACACTCACACACACACTCATACTCACACACACACTCATACTCACACACACACTCATACTCCACACACACACTCATACACACACTCATACACACACTCATACACACACTCATACACACACTCATACACACACTCCAACTCACACACACACACACACACACACACAACACCACACACACACACACACACACACACACACACACACACTCATACACACAAACACACACACACACACACACACACACACACACACACACACACACATGCACATATGTTGTATGCTTTATTTACAGCTAGCAAAGTCAGGGTATTTCTCCAGAATGGTCTGTAATATACCACTGTGGATAAAATACTTAGCATTTCTTGAAACACTTCTGAGTGAGTTGTTTCTAAATTCATTAATTTTATCGCACTCCAGTACATAATGACGCAGGGTGTGACAATAATCCATCTGGCAAAGTTTACATTTCGTTTGGTCTACATCTGGTGGTGGTGATTTAACCTGCCAAAGATACTTGTAACCCAGCCGGAGCCGGGCAGTAGTGACATCCAAGAGTCTGCTTATTTTGTTGGATGCACCATAGACATGTGCTCCTCCTGCATGATAGAATGATGATAGATGGACTCACTGGTGTCAATCTCCTGAGCCTTAAGTCCATAAAATTCAGCTGAAGTTCTTTTCGTATTATTGTTCTCAAACTACTACCTGACAAGCCAAGATTGTAATCTACTCCCTCTTTGAAAGCATACAGCTTAGCCAATTTATCAGTTCTATCATGCATCTGAAGACCAATGTGAGATGGAATCCACAGCATGTGCGCTCTGACTCCACTGTCCACAATCCTACCATACCTGTGTCTGGCTTCTGACACAAGCATGCCACAATTTATGCTTAATGAGTTGAGAGCATTTATGGATGACAGACAATCAGTTACAATTAAACTGTCAATCTTTGATACATAGATGCATTTCAGTGCAAGGAGTATGGCAAACAGTTCTGTCTGAAGGGTAGAGGCCCAATTATTGATGCGTGCTCCAATTTCTTTAAGAGAGCCATCACTCTGTACGACAACAGCAGCACTACCAGCTGCACCAGTGGATTGGTGAACAGAACCATCAACGTAAATAATTTGCGATAGTGTGTGCTGTGTGACTAAGTTATCAATACAGCTTAAGGCCTCATGTTTGGCTTCAAGGCGAAGTTTTGGTTGTGATTTAAGAAGTAGTTTGGGGGAAATGGAGGAATGGTAGTTTGGAAGGAGGTAATATCCCATGGAGCGGAGAAGTGCCGCTGTTGCCTTACTTGACATAGATCATGTATCTGATTCATGCGGAGGTCGGTTCCAGTCTTTTCGATCCATCTGGAGGAGTGTTCACCAGTGCTGAGGAAAGTTTGGAGGGCTTCTGTGCAGGGGTTTGAATGAGCTTGCCTGAGCATATTAACCCCAATTAGGATATTTCTTTCAGTAACACGATCTCTGATGCTTGGAATATCAAGTTCTTTTTGCATATTTAAAATTTTGGCAGTACGAGGGCATCCTAGGATGATCCTCATTGCTTCGTTCTGCAGTTTTTCCAGCCCTCCAAGCTTCCAGTCAGACACAAGAGCAAGTAGTGGTGCAGCATAATCAACCAATGATCTAATATAAGCAAGATACATCATTTTCACAATTTTAACATTAGCACCATACCTGGGGTGAAGCCCTGCCACAACTCTAAGTGCTCTTAGTCGTTCTTTGTATTGGCGACAAAGTCTTGTTACAATAGGTCCAAGTAGTGGAACCTCAAAGCCTAGATACCTGTATCTGCTTACATATTCTAGAAGAGACCCATCATGCAATTGGATCTGACGAACTGTGCCTCTCTGTCGAGGAGGACGCCTATTGAATATCTTTGTTTTATCAGTAGAGATTATCAACCCCAGGTCCTGACACGAGGCTAGTACATGATTAAGAATGTTTTGGGTGTGTTGGAGAATCCGGTGGTGTGAATCATTATATCATCAGCAAAAACTAATCACATAATTATGGGGCTGACTAGGCATAGCATTAAGTAATGCATTAATTAGAATATTGAACAGTGTGGGACTGAGCACACCTCCCTGTGGGGTTCCTAATTCAAAGTCTTTAGTTACACTTCTATGTCCCTGGAACAACACAGACGATTTTCTGTTGGACAGGTAGCCTTTAATCCAGCGGAGAAGCCATCCTCCAACATCCATTCTGGCAAGTTCACTAATTATTACATGTCGGTTGGCTACTTCGAAAGCGGATTTAAGGTCAAGGAAGGTAGTGTAGGAGCTGTCAGTGTGCAGGGTGAGAAAGGTGGCTATGCAATGATGCACGCTCCTTCCATGCATGAAACCATGTAACCGGGGAGACAAAAATTGTTTGATTCTGTACATGAGACAATTAAGAATCATTCTCTCAAATGTTTTACACAAGCAGCTAGTAAGAGATATTGGGCGAAATGCATTTTGTTGATTGGGCTTAGGAATTGGAATGATGAGGCTGTTGGTCCAAGATTGAGGGAGCTCCCCAGTTACATAGCTCATGTTATATAATTCAAGTAATGGATTACCTGGTACTCGACACAGCAATCTGAGTATGTTGTAAGTAATACCATCCTCACCAGGCGACGTGGG